ACTTGAAATTATTGGAAAGAAAGATGCAACATAAAAGAAATATAGCTTATTAAATATAATGACCGAGCGCGTACTTTTCAACAGTTTTAGAACCGGCAGGCATATATTATGGTGACCGAATTTGAACAGTACGTTATCATTTCTAATAAAAATCTTTTGTCTTACCTCAAAGAATCAAAACAAAGGAAAATTGCATGAAGAGCCGACTAACCGACTATGCTGTGCAAAAAATGAACTTACCATAGGTTTGGTATATACTGAAAAAATGACAGACACACAAATGAGTTGGCTGCATATCCTTGTTAAGGACCGTTGCAGTACTTTTATTGTTATTTTGAAGACTTTCTTGCATGAAAAATTGTTCTGCTTTTCTTTATGGTCAGGCAGTACCTGTTAAAGAATGGAAAGTAATATTTGTTGTTGTAAATACTACCATACTAACGTGTTAAGAAATGCCGTACGAATTAGCTTTATTTTCTTGTTTAACTGGTTTCTCGTTACCGTCAGTGTTATTCACACCTGTCTTGCCCCTCTGCCGACTACTATTTTATGTCAGCCTGAACCGTCCCAGGACGCATTGTAATTCTCTCGCGATGCAAGCTGAGCACCGCTTACGCCAAAATTGCGAACAGTTGGTTTGTTGGCCTCGCGTTTGTGCGGCATAAAAGCACAATTTACCTTCAAATGGTACATTAATTAATAAAGTCGCGGTTAATCAAATATAGAAGCATATAGTCTGAGTCAGAGTAATAAAAAACTGTGCACTGTTTGAAGTTTAATTTGTAATTGTAGTGTAAAGAAGTGAACACTTCTTTAATCAAAGCGAAAAATTCTAACTACAAGGACATCAACAAAATAGGCCTATTTGACCCTAACAATCGCAACTCGCGTTTATCTTGTTGACTACACGTAAACCTTTATTACATTTTTGTCCCTCCTGTTGAACATTCATCGAACCAACATAACGAATGGACCATGCATGTTCACAGGTAATTTCGGGCGACAATAACACACAGAGGAAAGAATTATGACATAAAGTCCGTTATAAAAAGTCTAAAAGAATAATTTCTTTCTACAGCAAAAATAACCATAAGTAAGAACCGTTCAATTTAAACGCTTATCTCATCGTTTGTTTAAATTGACCTATAATTTTTGTCATGCAAAAAGTAAACGATAGCGTAACCATAAGTTAAAGTTGAGCTAAGAACAAACCTGCTGTTTTCGAGGAAGCAAAAGAGAATCTTGACTTTCATTCCAAGCTATTCCAGACCAGAGATCGCCTAGCTGAGTTTGGTCTTCACTGCTCCGCAGACAATGCAAGGTACGGAGGTTTCTGGATTAAAACACAGTTAAATCAACTTAATGTTGGTGTCTTCATTTATACGGTCGTTCGATTAAAATTCAAACCAGTACGAGAAATGTTTTTGATAAATCTTTTCTTGAAACTATATGTGGGAAAAGCACGGGCTCTATGTTCAACAATGGGCAATCAACGCATAGATTGGTCACATTCAAAGAAAACAGATTGCCGACTCACTCAATTTTGTAGCTCTTGGTTGAAAACAGTATACTAGTGGATAAGCATGGAACTTGACAATGCATTGAGAAAAACAGCACTCAGTTCACCAATCAACAATTAGACTAACTCTTGAATTAGACGCATTCAGAACAAAAAAATGCCGACTTGATTAAAACTTGACAAATCTATGACAAAACTGGCTAGTGAATGAGTAGACAATAGGCCTTTCGCCCCAAGAGAAATTGAAAACTATAGTAATGCAAAATTTTGGAGCAAAAAATAGTATTATGGTATTTTTGAAAAAGGCCTATCGCCGTGTGAATTACCACAAGTTAGCCCTGAATAAATTTAAAAGTACCAGGAAAGAAAAATAAAAACTTTCAAAAACTTCTCGGTAGACAATAAAAGCGAAGAAAGTTGAGGAAAACTAGTGTTAAAGAATTGCTAACACAAGAACCATTTTGACTCCTAACGTTTGATTGGTCACGGTGATGTTGATCAAGCACCACTATCAGCTCGGCAAAACTAATGAATATGCGAAGACTACAATAGCTTGTTTTGCACCGGCTCGTCACGACTAAAGTTAAAAGTGCGAAGAAGCGAGAATACAAACTTTAAAAACTTTTAGGCATACAAAAATCATCATTCATTCGAAAAGCGCAGCAAGTTCAGGAAAACTTTTGATTAAAATTGCCAGTTAAAAACATCACTTCTATCACACTGACACATAAAAAGTTAGCGTTGAACGAAAATTCCGCGAAGAACACGATATTGAGGAGGATGTCATTGATCGTAGCATTGAAAGAATAAAAATTGCCGACTCACTCAATTACGTAACGTGGCTCTTGGTTGAAAAGACAACGCATTGAGAAAAACAGCACTCATTTCACCAATCAACAATTAGACTAACGCTTGAATTAGACGCATTCAGAAAAAAAGAATGCCGACTTGATTAAAACTTGACAAATCGATGACAAAACTGGCTAGTGAATGAGTAGACAATGGGCCTTTCGCCCCAAGAGAAATTAAAAACAATGCTAATGCAAACTTTTGAGGGACAACAAAGAGTATTATGGTATTGTTGAAAAAGGCCTATAGCCGTTCGAATTACCACAAGCTAGCCTCTGCATGAATAAATTTAAAAGTACCAGGAGAGAAACACACAAACTTTCAATACTTCTCAGTAGACAAAAAAAAGCGAAGAAAGTTAAGGAAAACTAGTGTTAAAGAATTGCTAGCACAGGAACCTTTTTGACTCCTAACATTTGATCGCCTAGTGATGTTAATTACCACCATCAGTTTGACAAAACCAATGAATATGCGACGACTATAATAGCTTGTTTTGCACCCGCTCGTCACGACTAAAGTTAAACTAGTGCGAAAAAGCGAGAATACAAACTTTAAAAACTTTTAGGTAGACAAAAATCATCATTCATTCCAAAAGCGCAGCAAGTTGAGGAAAACTTTTGATTAAAATTTCCAGTTCAAAAAAAACACTTCTATCACACTGACACATAAAAAGCTCGCGTTCAACGAAAAGGTCGCGAAAAACACAATATTGAGGAGGTCATTGATCATAGCATGGACCGGGGTTATATTTTACTGGGTTCACAAGAATAGTGGAGTGGATTTATGTGATCACATGCATCAGGACCAGGTAGCGAATATTCCCATGACGTCACGGCGGCCATGTTGGTGATCCAAACAAATCCTGTGGGAGATAGACTCTTTTCTTAAAAATTTTAAGAGAGCAAAAAGTCCACTTTCGGTTGACGTGCGTGCCTCAAAATGGTCGCTGCTTTCAAGTCATCTATCAACTACGGTGGCCCATACAGGACATCAACAATTTTTTTTTTCGGATTGAAATTTTTATCTCATTTGTTTGTTACGAAATTGGTATTGTGTAATCATTTAAAACTACAACTCGGATTTTTGCGCTAGAAATCTGAGTTGTATATTTCGAAACAGTTAGACAACTCGGATTGTGGTAAAAATCCGTGTTGTTCAATTGAAAAATTATTAACTAGGATTTTTGCGATTTATAAGTCCGAGTTCGTGTATTTTAGAGACTAAACAATTGGGATTTTTGCGATCAAAACCCGAGTTGTGTTATTGAAAAATTAACAACTCGGATTTTTGCAGAAAAAAATCCGTTGTTTATTTGAAAAGACTTAACAACTCACATTTTGTGACAAACATTAAGATGAAAATTTCAATCGAAAAAAGAAATATTGTTGATGTCCTGTATGGGCCACGGTAATAAACAATCATTGTTCCAAAAAAATGGGAAACACTGTGCAACGCACCATCCACGGAGAACCCTTTGAAGCTGTTCATCACCACAAATACATTGGAGTTGAGATATCCAGTGATATAAATTGCTGGAATTATAGGCAAAGCCAACAGATCTCTTGGCTTTATAAGAAAAAACTTAAGTAAATGTCCAGAAAACGTAAAACAGCAAGTCTATCTTGCTATAGTTAGACCACAGCTTGAACACATCGTTGTTTCGCATGGGGTCCGCACATTCAAAAACAGATAAAGGGCATTGAGAGTGCGCAGAGACGACGGGCAGGTTTTGTTAAAAATGAATATGGCACAACTCCTGGAACTATTACGAAAATTTTGAATGATTTGAAATGGCCAACACCCGAGAAGTTTCTTAAGGTTTTTCATTTCCATGTAGTTCTAATCGCAATCCGTTACGCTAAAAAAGGAACAAATATGTAAATCATTATACTTCACAGGTGTTTTGAATACATTAGATTCTTATTATTTTTTTACGAGAACCAGAATAGAATAATGAGTCATCTGTATTCACCCATGCGCAAATAACCCCTAAATGATATTTGAAATTTCTTAACGGCATCGTAGTTTCGAGCTAGTCTCTCCTGAACGATCATGGATCGCTTGTGTTTAACGATACCTGATGAAAGTTACTGCTGCTAAAACTGTTCCTTCTATTGCAAGGTGGTATAACATTATACCAAACACACAGTGAAGAAATTCAACTCGCAAATCAATATGGAACTGATTTGAAAGTGTAAGTGCTACAGCTATTGCTATATCTCTTGCATTTCTCTTGTCTGAACGAATTACCAAAGAGCTGCCAAGTGCACACTATTTAGACTGTGAACTTCTTTCTCAACTGAAACCTTTCAGAGTGTTTTATTTTAATCGGCAGTGGTATGTTTTTCCTTTTTCTTTTCCCTCAGTTTTGAGTTTTGCGAGATTTTCTTCAAGTAGTAAATAATACAAAAAAAGGTCACGGTTTAAGTACAAGGACTACACGGGAAAAACGTGCGGACCGAAAACGAAATGAATTTAAAACGCAAGTGCCTGTAACAGCACTTCCGGCTCAGACCATCTTTCTCTTTCCTTGCAATTCTTACAACTTACTTCAATGAATTTACAACTATGTATCTTTCTCAGTCCAACACATAAGACAAAAACAAATTTCCTCGCTTTAAGTGAGATAATACGGGTTAGGAATTATGTACTAGCTAAGGAAACACGGGTTGTGGTAGGTAATCACTGATTTCAAAAACCTATCACGATAAAATTTTGATTGCCAGATAAAGAGTATTTCAAGCAAATCGTATCCGACTTCTTCTTTAAAGAGTTCTTTGTTATGCTTTAACTATTTTTTTTTTGTCTTCTTCACTCATGTAGGCGAACAATCTAACGGAAGTACAGTCATTAATTGCTAAGTGCGAACCCAACTAAACTGGGTGATTTTTAAGACGGTAAGTACTTGTAACAACCCCAATCCCGATCTTTTGTTAGTGACCTTTATGAACTGACTACTCAGGATCTCAGACTACAGATCTAGACTTGGCAAAATGGCTCATTTGGTAACTCTTTTCTTCTTTACTTTTTACGCAGTTATCTAGGCGAACTCAAAATCAGTCAAAATCGCTGAAAATACCTCTTTTGAAGCAAAAAGACAACAATATACCTTAGGTAAGGTAGTACACTGTTTATTTAACATTAATCTATATACATAGTTAGCGATATATTGCTACTGTAAAGATAAACAGATAAACAAACTCATTTACCAACAAGCAGATTGTGTGGGTAGCCTGTATATCCTCGTGCCAGGGTTGCCATTGTCTATTGGTGTCCCCGTGTCACAGCGTTTTGGGCATCCCTGCGTTTTGGGCATCCCCATTCCCAAATCCCTAGCGTTTTGGGCATCCCTTCTCGTATTACTGCAGCGTTTTGGGCATCCCCCGGTACCCTCCCGGGATGCCCAAATCCCTAGTGTTTTGGTCATCCCCTCCAAAAAAACTGCTAGATTTCGCGGGAAAATCGAAAACGTTTTAGAGATGGCTTCCGCTAAATATAGAAATCTTTTCCAGTATCTTAAAAAGAAGGCTTATCCGGAAGGCTTTACAAAGCAAAAAACGACTCTGCGAAAATTTGCCAAAAAGTTCGAGTATGACTCAAAATTAGAGTCCTTGTTCTACGTGGCCAAGGAGAAGGATGGCACAGCGCTTCGACGTCTTGTTATCACTGAGGAAGAGAAAAGCGAGGGTCTTCGAAGAGTGCCACTCTGCTCCTTTCTCTGGACACGCCGGCTGCGATAATACTTTTGCACCCCGTGAAGGTTGTTCCCAAGGTGTGGTACTTGGTCGGAATTGATTTAATAGAAGCTCCTACTACATCTCAAAACAACAACAGATTTCTTCTGTCCCGTAGGTGCAAGAGGCCTCTGTATAAATTGTGTGACAACCTTTCGTATGTCAAGTAGCGCTGCGGGGTTAAGTTGTACAGGCCTCAAATGTCATGCATACTATGAATTCAACACCGCAAAACGCAGTTTTATTCATGTTTGTCTTTTGATTGCTTTGTTTAGTATTCTTGTTTTTGGCTGTTTGGAATCATACGCTCGCAGCTGCCGGTAATTGCGGCATTGCTCGCTTGTAAAAAGTTCTATTAAATAAAATTGAAGCTTTGCAAACAATGAAGCGTTGTACAGCGAAGCGATGTTATGCGGTTGTAAATTTCAGTTTCGTCATGTTTTGAGCCAACGTTTACTGCCTATGGGGTTTTTTTCTGCGCAATAAACCCGGCGAAAAGTGTCAGACGATATAATTCTAACATGCATCTACACTATTCAGCCGTAAATTCGTGATTAACAATCCCGACTTTTCCCCAGTCTGAAATAATTTAGGCAAAGTTGAAGTAGCCTGTTCCAGGCGTTCAGATAGTGGGGAGCGGTGTAAGGAGCGGTGCGAGGTAAAAAGGAGCGCGAAAAAAATAAAAGCGAGGGAGGGGGAGAGGAGAGAGAGGGTCGAAGCGATCAGCGATTAGGGCATCCCCCACCGGGGATGCCCAAAACGCTAGGGATATGGGAATGGGGATGCCCAAAACGCGGGGATACCCAAAACGCTGTGACACCGGCCAATATGGCGGCCTGGGGCTAGTTTACTAGTGGCTAGTTTGGATCTTCCGCTCACAGAGTCACTCACTGTACCAACGCAAACCTAAGCTTAATAGTACCTACAACAATTTCAAGAAAGGAATCTGCAATATAAAAACCAAAATACCAAAGAAGGCAATAGAATTCGAAGGTCAGGAGAGACATAAAGGTATACATATTTACTGATATTTAGAGGGCCGCACCCAACGACGATTTCCTCCTAATTGCATTGAAATTATAAAGTAATTCTCATTATGAAGTAGATGGCTAGGATGTAAAAGTTGCGGTGATTTCAGGCTTTCACTTTCGCACCTTCCTGTCGTTCCCCAAAACGTGGGCGGCTCAAAACTCGAAGTAGCTAGTTTTTAGCCGGCTGCCTGCACTTAATAAGAATCCTGCAGACTACAGTACTTTTAAATCTCTAGAAATGCATTCTAAGCGGGGCTATAAAATTTGCATCTGTTCAGTCATCCTAGGGGAACTAAAGGCTTTTCGAAATTACAAGGGCCTCAGTTTTATTTTCCTGAAAGTATGAGACCGTAAGTTAACTAAGTTCATTTCTTTATCACCTAGAGATATGCCAAGAGATCATCAGAGGCACAATTTAAAAGATTTGACCAACAAGGAACAAGAAAGGTAAATACAATATTAAAATAATTTTATTCTATTAATTTATATACATTAATCAGTCTAGCAACACAGTGTAGAAGATACCAGAATTCATGGTCAAAACAAACTACACTATAAAATTCAAACTGCACGATAAATGGCATAAGACATAATGCTGTCCCTCTCAAACATGCAAAGGAATACTCCAGTTTCAAACCTGTGAGAGCAACAATGGATGCAAGGGCATTATGTTTGATGCCCTATGATATATTCTAACTTTTACATAAAAACTTTGATTAAACAATATATACTTAGGTCAACTGGGATTCTAACCTGGCAAAGAGATGGGATACAGATTCTCCCTGAACTATTACGTCCAAAGTCTGATATTTATATAAGGAAATATATGCCCGCCCAACTGTTATTCATGCTCAGCAAAGAATTGGGAGGCAGTTGCTTTCTGAACAATTGAATACAAACTTTAATTTATTATTAGTTTTTTACGAGTATTATCCTAATGAACAAATAGACTAAAATGGAACATGGGTGTTAGAGAATAGAAAGGAGAAATAATATTGTGAGAAGTTCTCTTCTTATACTGCATCCACTTACTAAAATAAATATCATTCCCTTTTTTCGCTTACTGACAACAGTCATGCAAATTTTTATTTACCTGCCTTTGAACGGTTTCCAGTGGTTATCAACCCTTCAAACCAATTCTTTCCTTTTCAAAGTGTCTTGACCAAATGGAGCATTAGAGGGCACCCAGGCCCGTGGAAAGAATTTTTAAGATACGTGGATTTTCTCCCGGGGAGTAATCCCCCTTATATAAGCCAACTAAGTATGTGCCACCCCAAAGGGTATGGTCTTTGCACCTTTTTGTTCTAAAAATGGTCAGGATTTGGAGAACCTGGGGACAAACCCCTACCAAGAACCCGCAAGAGCACCCCACTAAGGATTTCAGTCACTTTCGGGTAGTAAATAACACAAATAAGCGACCATGGTTTAAGTACTAGGGCTACGCGTGAATCGCCGAGAGAGAGACTTAGCTTCCTTTCTTTTTGGGTATTGATTTCGCGGGAAAATCGAAAACGTTTTAGAGATGGCTTCCGCTAAATATAGAAATCTTTTCCAGTATCTTAAAAAGAAGGCTTATCCGGAAGGCTTTACAAAGCAAAAAACGACTCTGCGAAAATTTGCCAAAAAGTTCGAGTATGACTCAAAATTAGAGTCCTTGTTCTACGTGGCCAAGGAGAAGGATGGCACAGCGCTTCGACGTCTTGTTATCACTGAGGAAGAGAAAAGCGAGGGTCTTCGAAGAGTGCCACTCTGCTCCTTTCTCTGGACACGCCGGCTGCGATAATACTTTTGCACCCCGTGAAGGTTGTTCCCAAGGTGTGGTACTTGGTCGGAATTGATTTAATAGAAGCTCCTACTACATCTCAAAACAACAACAGATTTCTTCTGTCCCGTAGGTGCAAGAGGCCTCTGTATAAATTGTGTGACAACCTTTCGTATGTCAAGTAGCGCTGCGGGGTTAAGTTGTACAGGCCTCAAATGTCATGCATACTATGAATTCAACACCGCAAAACGCAGTTTTATTCATGTTTGTCTTTTGATTGCTTTGTTTAGTATTCTTGTTTTTGGCTGTTTGGAATCATACGCTCGCAGCTGCCGGTAATTGCGGCATTGCTCGCTTGTAAAAAGTTCTATTAAATAAAATTGAAGCTTTGCAAACAATGAAGCGTTGTACAGCGAAGCGATGTTATGCGGTTGTAAATTTCAGTTTCGTCATGTTTTGAGCCAACGTTTACTGCCTATGGGGTTTTTTTCTGCGCAATAAACCCGGCGAAAAGTGTCAGACGATATAATTCTAACATGCATCTACACTATTCAGCCGTAAATTCGTGATTAACAATCCCGACTTTTCCCCAGTCTGAAATAATTTAGGCAAAGTTGAAGTAGCCTGTTCCAGGCGTTCAGATAGTGGGGAGCGGTGTAAGGAGCGGTGCGAGGTAAAAAGGAGCGCGAAAAAAATAAAAGCGAGGGAGGGGGAGAGGAGAGAGAGGGTCGAAGCGATCAGCGATTAGGGCATCCCCCACCGGGGATGCCCAAAACGCTAGGGATATGGGAATGGGGATGCCCAAAACGCGGGGATACCCAAAACGCTGTGACACCGGCCAATATGGCGGCCTGGGGCTAGTTTACTAGTGGCTAGTTTGGATCTTCCGCTCACAGAGTCACTCACTGTACCAACGCAAACCTAAGCTTAATAGTACCTACAACAATTTCAAGAAAGGAATCTGCAATATAAAAACCAAAATACCAAAGAAGGCAATAGAATTCGAAGGTCAGGAGAGACATAAAGGTATACATATTTACTGATATTTAGAGGGCCGCACCCAACGACGATTTCCTCCTAATTGCATTGAAATTATAAAGTAATTCTCATTATGAAGTAGATGGCTAGGATGTAAAAGTTGCGGTGATTTCAGGCTTTCACTTTCGCACCTTCCTGTCGTTCCCCAAAACGTGGGCGGCTCAAAACTCGAAGTAGCCAGTTTTTAGCCGGCTGCCTGCACTTAATAAGAATCCTGCAGACTACAGTACTTTTAAATCTCTAGAAATGCATTCTAAGCGGGGCTATAAAATTTGCATCTGTTCAGTCATCCTAGGGGAACTAAAGGCTTTTCGAAATTACAAGGGCCTCAGTTTTATTTTCCTGAAAGTATGAGACCGTAAGTTAACTAAGTTCATTTCTTTATCACCTAGAGATATGCCAAGAGATCATCAGAGGCACAATTTAAAAGATTTGACCAACGAGGAACAAGAAAGGTAAATACAATATTAAAATAATTTTATTCTATTAATTTATATACATTAATCAGTCTAGCAACACAGTGTAGAAGATACCAGAATTCATGGTCAAAACAAACTACACTGTAAAATTCAAACTGCACGATAAATGGCATAAGACATAATGCTGTCCCTCTCAAACATGCAAAGGAATACTCCAGTTTCAAACCTGTGAGACCAACAATGGATGCAAGGACATTATGTTTGATGCCCTATGATATATTCTAACTTTTACATAAAAACTTTGATTAAACAATATATACTTAGGTCAACTGGGATTCTAACCCGGCAAAGAGATGGGATACAGATTCTCCCTGAACTATTACGTCCAAAGTCTGATATTTATATAAGGAAATATATGCCCGCCCAACTGTTATTCATGCTCAGCAAAGAATTGGGAGGCAGTTGCTTTCTGAACAATTGAATACAAACTTTAATTTATTATTAGTTTTTTACGAGTATTATCCTAATGAACAAATAGACTAAAATGGAACATGGGTGTTAGAGAATAGAAAGGAGAAATAATATTGTGAGAAGTTCTCTTCTTATACTGCATCCACTTACTAAAATAAATATCATTCCCTTTTTTCGCTTACTGACAACAGTCATGCAAATTTTTATTTACCCGCCTTTGAACGGTTTCCAGTGGTTATCAACCCTTCAAACCAATTCTTTCCTTTTCAAAGTGTCTTGACCAAATGGAGCATTAGAGGGCACCCAGGCCCGTGGAAAGAATTTTTAAGATACATGGATTTTCTCCCGGGGAGTAATCCCCCTTATATAAGCCAACTAAGTATGTGCCACCCCAAAGGGTATGGTCTTTGCACCTTTTTGTTCTAAAAATGGTCAGGACTTGGAGAACCTGGGGACAAACCCCTACCAAGAACCCCCAAGAGCACCCCACTAAGGATTTCAGTCACTTTCGGGTAGTAAATAACACAAATAAGCGACCATGGTTTAAGTACTAGGGCTACGCGTGAATCGCCGAGAGAGAGACTTAGCTTCCTTTCTTTTTGGGTATGTTGTTTTGCTCCACACCTAAGTTTTATTTACTCTTTTTAGGGAACTCAATCTAAGAGAAGTGCAGGTATATTAAAGTCGATTTAAAATGTGCGGGCCCCCAAAACAAAATGATTTTAAAAATCTTCATTATCTGCAAGTAATTTTCTTTGCTTTAAGTTAGATAATGCAATTATGGTAAGGGATAATTTTCCCAACTAAGGCTGGAGAACCTAACTTGTGTTAGGTAATCACTGATTTCAAACACCTATCACGATAAAATTTTAACTGTCAGATAAAGAGTATTTCAACAAATCATATCTGACTTCATCATTGAAGAGTTTTTTGTTATGCTTTAACTAATTTTTTTTGTCTTCTTCACTCACTTAGGTAAAAATCTAATAACAATCTAACAGAAGTACAGTCATTAATTGTTCAGTGCTGACCCAACTAAACCAGGATATTTTCAAAACGGTAAGAGCTTGGAGCTTGTAACAACCCCAATCCCGATCTTTATTTAGTGACTTAATCAATTATGGCTCCTAAGGATCTTCCTTGAAGTATTAGAATACATAAAAATTCTGATATTTATAAAAAGCAATTTACATCTATCAGATCAACTGGGATTCCAACTCCGCGAAAATGTGCAACAGGTGCTCCCTAAACTATGACATAATACATAATAATTATATAAAGTTAATAAACTCTCCCTATTGGCAGTGGTTTTGCATAAAGGTTTTATGCCAGATAACACTCTGAAAACACACAGAAAGCAATGCTCCTCCCTCGATTAATACCTTAGTCTATGATATATGGGACTTACTATTTTTACCTTACTATTTATAAAACAATATTAAAAACACTGGGATTTCCAACCCAGCAAGCAAGGGAGACAGGAGCTCCCTGGACTGATACTTCAGTCTTTAATAGTGTTATTACCTACTTTTCAAATTAGATAAACTGGGATTCCAACCCAGCAAGCAGGGGAGACAGAAGCTCCCTGGACTGATACTTCCATCTATAATAGTTATTACTTACTATTAAAATTAGCCTGGGATTCCAACCCAGCAAGAAAGAGAGACAGGAGCTCCCTGGACTGATACTTCAGTCTTTAATAGTGTTATTACTTACTATTAGAATTAGATAAACTGGGATTCCAACCCAGCAAGCAAGGGAGAGACGAGTTCCCTAGACTGATACTTCAGTCTTTAATAGTGTTATTACTTACCATTAAAGTTAGATAAACTGGGATTCCAACCCAGCAAGCAAGGGAGACAGGAGTTCCCTGAACTAATACTTCAGTCTTTAGTAGATATTACTTACTATTAAAATTAGATAGACTGGGATTCCAACCAAGCAAGGGAGACAGGAGCTCCCTGGACTAATACTTCAGTCTTTAATAGTATTATTACTTACTATTAAAATTAGATGAACTGGGATTCCAACCCAGCAAGCAAGGGAGAGAGGAGCTCCCTGGACTAATACTTCAGTCTTTAATAGATATTACTTACTATTAAAATTAGATAAACTGGGATTCCAACCCAGCAAGCAAATGAGACAGGAGCTCCCTGGACTGATACTTCAGTCTTTTATAGTTGTTACTTACCATTAAAATTAGATAAACTGGGATTCCAACCCAGCGAGCAAGGGACAAAAGAGCTCCCTGGACTGATACTTCAGTCTTTAATAGTGTTATTACTTACTATTTAAATTAGATAAACTGGGATTCCAACCCAGCAAGCAAGGGAGAGAGGAGCTCCCTGGACTGATACTTCAGTCTTCAATAGTTATTACTTACTATTAAAATTAGATAAACTGGAATTCCAACCAAGCAAGCAAGGGAGACAGGAGCTCCCTGGACTGATACTTTAGTCTATGATAGTTATTACTTACTATTAATATTAGATAAACTGGGATTCCAATCCAGCAAGCAAGGGAGACAGGAGCTCCCTGGACTGATACTTCAGTCTGTAATAGTGTTATTTACGTTACTATTAAAAAAAGAGAAACTGGGATAATTTCCAACCCAGCAAGCAAGGGAGACAAGAGCTCCCTGGACTGATACTTCAGTCTGTCATAGTTATCTGCACTGATACTTCAGTGTATGGTAGATGAAACTTACTGTTAAAACTAGATAAACTGGGATTCCAACCCTGCAAGCAAGGGAGACAGGGGCTCCCCGGACTGATACTTCAGTCAATGGGAGATGAAACTTACTGTTAAAAGAAAGCATTTACTGGGATTCCAACCCCACAAGCTAGATAAGTAATACCTGGAGTGATACTAGAGTCTATTATGCATGTAGTTGAACCTTTAATACCCTAACTCTAGAACTAAATGAAGTGCATTACATCTTCGCTTTAATTATTATTTATAGTATTATACTGTTCGAGCAGCAGCAATTCTTTCAATAAATTTAATAGCAGCCGTAAGTAGAAAAAGGGGATTCCAAAAACAAAGTTGGCCTATTGTTGCCAATACAGTGGCCTCAAGCCAGGTGGAGGGTTTCGTGCGTTCCACAGGGTGCTTGTCTACTTATGCGGTGAGAGTGGTACTGAGCCATCAGTTACACCGAGGTCTGGGTGGTTGCCTCTGGCCGACAGGTGATGTATTGGGCGCCTGATAAGAAAACGGCCGTTGCACTCAAGTGCTTATCGACTCATTCTGCAGTGGTGCAGAGCTTTACGAGTGATACTGCACGGGCCGTAGCGGTGTACCGCTCATCGGGTCATGCCATATCTCAGCTTCTGTCACGAAACAAGTCTGTTGTAAGCGCTCATGCCCAGGTGTCCCGGTTTGGACGCAAGCGGAGGTCCCCCAATTTATATGGCCGTTGCACTCACGTGCGTCTCGGATACTGCACAGGCCATACACCCTTTTCTTTAGGTCATGCCATATCTCAGCTTCTGTAACGAAACGGGTTTTTTCGAGCCTTTAAATTTTTTTTTTGTTTTTGTTTAAATAAAAAAAATCTCAGTTATTTTAGGTATAATTTCAGATTTTCTTGGAAAGAGTTGTTGCTCTAAGAAGATTATCACTGATTTTCAAAGTAATATGCACTTAGGGTAACTGGGATTCCAGCCCAGCAACCAAGGGAGACAGGAGCTCCCGGACTGATACTTCAGTCAAGAATAGATAAAACTTACTATTAAAACTAGATAAACTGGGATTCCAACCCAGCAAGAAAGGGAGACAGCAGCTCCCTGCACTGATACTTCAGTCAATAATAGATGAAACTTAGTATTAAAACTAGATAAACTGGGATTCCAACCCAGCAAGCAAGGGAGACAGGAGCTCCCTGGACTGATACTTCAGTCAATAATAGATGAAACTTACTATTAAAACTAGATAAACTGGGATTCCAACCCAGCAAGCAAGGGAGACAGGAGCTCCCTGGACTGATACTTCAGTCAATAATAGATGAAACTTACTATTAAAACTAGATAAACTGGGATTCCAACCCAGCAAGCAAGGGAGACAGGAGCTCCCTGGACTGATACTTCAGTCAATAATAGATGAAACTTACTATTAAAACTAGATAAACTGGGATTCCAACCCAGCAAGCAAGGGAGACAGGAGCTCCCTGGACTGATACTTCAGTCAATAATAGATGAAACTTACTATTAAAACTAGATAAACTGGGATTCCAACCCAGCAAGCAAGGGAGACAGGAGCTCCCTGGACTGATACTTCAGTCAATAATAGATGAAACTTACTATTAAAACTAGATAAACTGGGATTCCAACCCAGCAAGCAAGGGAGACAGAAGCTCCCTGGACTGATACTTCAGTCAATAATAGATGAAACTTGCTATTAAAACTAGATAAACTGGGATTCCAACCCAGCAAGCAAGGGAGACAAGAGCTTCCTGGACTGATACTTCAGTCAATAATAGATGAAACTTACTATTAAAACTAGCTAAACTGGGATTCCAACCCAGCAAGCAAGGGAGACAGGAGTTCCCTGGACTGATACTTCAGTCAG